ATAATTTAACGATTTATAGCAATTTATAACGAATTATAGCAGATTATATACTATATGATTTTACAGACCTATAATTAGATAATATGCGATTCATTTTTATGTCAAATATTGTAATAGTTGAATATCAATCAAATATACAAAAGGTATCAGAAAAAAAGTTATAGCTATATAGTGAGGTAAATACATCATATGACGTGACTAGCCACGTGATTTTTAGAACATTGTTGGCTTTGTGGTAAGCATAGGTAGAGGATTAAGAGTCGATTTGCATAAGCAGAATCCCCCGAGTGTCGCTATTTGAGCTAGTATTACGACAATTTTATCCTAATGAATATTGCTTTATTTTTTATATTAGCATAGTACAGACAATAACAAGTCGCACAAAATTAGATATAAAATTTTGTGACACTCTCCTGCGATAAGAAAAGGTGAAGAACATAAATTTATAAGTAAACTCGATTAGATGATTCGATTAGATGATTCGAGCACTTTTAAGATTAAGCATGGTTCAGAATCAGTTTCGAGAATGAACAAATTTTTAGTGCGATATTTAATTTACTGTTACAATCGATACATTATACTGTATGTGGCTAAGGTTGATTTGGTATTATTGTGATGATATTCCTGATCATAACTTGCTCATCAATATATTAGTCTTAACAGGCTGTTTCCAATATTGGCACTACGATAATTACATATGTAAGATGAAAAAAAAATCAGATTTCCAGATTCAGATATTCGAGAAACAAATATGTGCATTATTTTATCATAACCACATATAAATTTGAAAGATAAATTTACGTTAAGCAATAAATAAAGTTCATATTGTGTATGTTATACAAAATTGGGTACATTAAGGTTTGTGATACTTTTCTGCAGAATTATTTCTCATAGTCAATTTTTTATTAACGCTAGTCATGACTAGAACTGTTTCCTTGTTATATATGATCTAGTGATAAGAATAAGCTCAAATAGGACCTAGAAGTGCCATAAGAGGAAAGCTTATGACGTTCTTAATCAGTAGTTTTATCAAAATTCATATGTCGCAGGAACTTGAAATTTTCAGATTGCCAAGATCGTTGACTTTTTTACTTGGTAGTAGCAGACGTCGAATCTAAGGGGTCTATGTCCCTAAAAGGATGCTAAAATATATTTAGTATTTGGGCTTTACAACCGAAATAGAGTTGCTTTATTAAGTGTGATCTGACAGTATTAGAGTAATACAAATTACTAATTATGTAACTAGCAAGTTTTTTAGATCTAGCAAATAGTTGGTATAAAAATAAGCGATTTTACCGCTTCTTGTAGGTGGGTTATTTTGCTCATATATAATTTTTTTACCTGATCATAATTTATTTTTAAAGTAATGTTATTTTGTTTAACGGCAACTATGAAAACGAATTTTACTTACTATATTTTTTATTTAGAACTGTGAAATGAGCACTAAAGATAGCACCACTCCCAAGACTAACAATGCCACCTCCAATTCTAACGATGCTACTACCCCCAAGACTAATAATGCTACCACCTCCCAAGACTAACAATAGCACCACCCCCAAGACTAACGATAGTATCATCCCCAAGACTAACGATAGTATCACCCAAACTATTCTAAATCAAAGCGACAATACAAGCCAAGAGAATTTTTATCTTGTAAGTAAACTTTATGCCATGCCAGTATATTTGTGTTGAAATATAATTATCAGAATTAAGTTTTTTATTTTACTAAAAATTAGATGATGAGACCTGGGAAAAAATATCGAAAAAAAACTTAGAGCATGATAAGGAAAATGATAATAATGATTGGTTGAACCCTGGTCAACGAAGGTAAATATTAGATCAAATATAAACCCCACCAACCTAACCTGTTAAGGGCATTTTTTATTATATAATAAATATATATATTTTATTTGTATAATGTTCTGCAACAATGATTTATTAAATAAAGAGGGGGTCCCGTGGGCTCGCCATTTTTTTTAACTAATCGTGTAATTGTTAAGTATAGATATATATTATTATTTTGTTTTCTATCCATAACTTTATTAAAATCATTAAAAAAATAAGACCTTGATGCATACTTACATTATGCACATTTAGGCTAGGCTCAAAGAGTTATAACCTTTTATAGTATTACAGTAGATCGGCAAATTTAGACCCAAAAAGAGATTTGGCACTCTGTGCCATCATTGCTTCACAATAATACACTTGATCATATGATGTCGAGCCAAAACCGCACGATGTCATATGATATGAAAATCATTATTTGTCTAATATCATTTCTGTATTATCCATATATGATACATCAATTCTATAATTCCACTTTAAAAAATTTGTACCAGAATTAAGACCCTTTGACATCGAAGTCTGTCTATATATTTGAACTTTCTCTTTTTATTCTAAATTTAGATTTGTTATCTCCAGTTTTAATAAACTCAATTTCATCTTTTTTGAAAGCCCCAATACTTGATGCACTGAAATTACTGATTCATTAGATCTTATCCTCACCAATTGTGCTGAAGATATTATAAATCTTTCGAGCTGTAGCAATTCTTCTCTTTATAACATTAACAGAAGTACTACTAGGGAGTAATTTCTTAACTTCAGCAACTATCTTACTCTGTGCCGTACATAGAGGGATCGATATCTTTAGTAACTCTTTAAGTTTTTCTGCATCTGCTTTCCCGAACTGATAATAAGACAAGATAATTTCTTTTTTTGCATGAACCACATTTCTCTCTGAGCGAGCAAGTAATTCTTTAGCTTGATCTATATTTACGTATAAAAGGAGAAATCCCTGTACAGTCAAGAAAGGTTATTTTTTCCATTTCAGATGACGCGTCAGAATGGGGTAAATTTTTAGAAATTTCTCGAAGAAAAGATCTAACTTTAGGAGTATTTCCAGGTTTTAAAGCTTCTGCAAGATCACTGATATCCTTTTCAACTGCTTCTATATTTTTAATTCGATTTTGGCAATTTTTAACAGGGCAGGTAATATTTTCATTAATTGCAAAAAATTCAATAGCATAGTTGAAATGTAAAATATGATCATATTCCAAGACAGCGACTGGTTTTTTAATTGGTTCTTGGCAGATGCAACATGAATTGAGAATTTGGTTAAGAATATCTGATACAGAAG